GGGGGGGGGGTTTCTTTTCTTTCTTACTATTTGTCGTTGACCCTGTACAACTACAACTGATTCCATCACTGGGTGCATTTCACCTGCATCAACATTTTACATCTATTGTGTTTCATCTTTATTATGTTTCACCTATATCATGTTTCACTTATATTGCATTTCATCTATATCACGTTTCATTCTCATCACTGATTCAACTTAGATCATTTCATAGTTATTCAACTTTATCTACTTACTCTATTTAAGATGCACTACCTGCGCTACTATACTTCAGTTTTATCCTCTTGTTCCCTATGTACATACACTTCATAGGGAAATCTTCAGTAATAGACTCAGTTGTCTATTCTAGTTTCAGTCTGAAGCCCAGCTTCAACCAGTATATGCTCTCAAACCACTATTAGTTATAGTGGCTCAGTCTATGAGTCTAGTCTCAGTATAACAGGTCAGCCTTACGCATACAAGTATCAGTAACAGTCATAAGTTGAACTCCTGATCCTCAGTCATTAGGTCCCTTAACATGATTTAGATGTTGCTTGTTGACAAAGGCAGAAGAGTCTTCTCAATGTCTCCTTTGTCAGTGCACTTGATGAACTCCTTCAGCTCTAGCAAAGGGCTGAGGGACATACTCAATGGTTTGTTCTGGTCTGCTGTGGAACCTGTTGATGTCCTGTTGGACATTGTCTGTGATGGGAGTAGGGGGGCATGTATGAGAGTAGGGGTGAAAATACCACTGCTGCTCTCTCAGGGTGTCCCTAAGGGTTGTCCTCCTGCTTTGCAGCCAAGGGGGAAATGGTCTTGAGGGAGCCACATGCTCTCTTTGGTCTCCTTCCAGAATAGAGTTGCTTACACTTGACTCGGTGCTGACTATGGTCAAGGTCAATATTGGGTCCTCCACAATTTCTCCTGTGGCTTCCACATACTCAAGTGGAGATTCTTCTCTCCTGGCTGGGAAATCGAGTCCTGCTTCTCTTAGTCCTTCTGCTAGACCTAAGAAGTCAGGGTGAAGCTGGTTGTCTTGGTATGTAGGGGGCAGTGGAATATATGCAGGTGGCAGTGGTGAGTATCAGGGTACTGGTGTACCAGATAGCTCAACTGCTAAAGGTGGTAAGAATGATGGTGCAAGGGTCAGATTAAAATTGTTTGGGTCACCACCCAATTGTTCCAACTGAGCCCTTTCAACTACTCCTGTTATCAGATTGTTCTGAACCACAGCTAATATTAGCTCAGCTTCAGGTCCTCCTACTCTGCACCAGAGTTCTTCTTCAGATGCGCTCCTAGCAATCTCAATGAGCTCCAGGGAATCTGTGACTCTTTGCAAACCCCACTAAGTGGGGATGGGTTGGTGAGGTGACGATGGTGTAGGTGAGTTGCTTGCCTGTACTTCTTCTGCTACTTCCTGATCCTGATCTCCTAATCTGATAGACTCCCAAAGAGTCTCCACTAATCCAATGTACTCCCGAAAGAGTTCTTCCTTGGCAGGTCTTGTGAGGCCTCTGGCAGCAAGACTTGCTAGTCGTCCTTCAGTAAATTGCAATTGTTCAGTAGGGGTCCCAAAGAATGGGAAGGAGGATAGGGGGGATAGGGAACGAGCTTCTTGAATGTCCTGGGCAAACTGAGAAGCATGTGACAACACTTCCCAGGCAGAGTGAGTTTATCTGTGAAACAAATGAGACAACTAAAAGAAATTTGACAGTGATGACAACCATCAAATAGGATAGACTTGTTATAATATCAAGGTATTGCCTTGATACTTGACTGACCCAATACCCTAACCCCAAACACTCACTTGTTGTTGTGGAGGTTGTATAGACTAGCTGGGAGCTGGTGACTATAAGAGCTTGGTAGGCTCAGAGTAGAGGATGAGTAAGTAGATGAGGGTAGACAAGTATAACAAGTCTAAGCTCTCTACGCTGTATTACTCTGGTTTTTATACATGAGGGGCCAGACCCCTAATACTACTGGTAGTACACCTAACACCTAGGCTGACTGATGCTCGCAATACACTATTGGCTGTCTAAGAATACCTAGCATGTAAACCATCATCCTGTCCTTGTGTCTGGTCAGTAGTTCTACAATGATGATCACCTGAACAACCGTGTGTGTTCCTAGTACAAATGGGGAAATCTCCATGTGAATGTATGATAGCCCATTTGCCATGCTTCTGATAAACTGAACACCTGACTAGTAACATGTCACCATGCATGACACTATTCTTATCTATGTAGATGTTAAGGGACCTGACAACTGAGGATCAGGAGTTCCACTTAAGACTACTACCGACAAAAGGTACTGCTACGCATAAGGCTGACACATTATACTAGAACTAGACTTGTAGACTGAGCCGCTGCAACTAGCAGTGGTTTGAGAACGTATACTGGTTAAAGCAACACTTCAGACTGAGACTGGAATAGACAACTGAGTCTATTACTGAAGGTGTCCCTATGAAGGTATGTAGGGAACAAGAGAACAAAACTAACGTACAGTAGTGCAAGCAGTGCTACTTAAATAGAGTAAAGCGAATAGAGTTTAATAAGTATGAAACACTGAGTTGGATTAGTAATGTG